AACCAATCTCCATCTTCAATCATGTTAATCTAGGGGCGGGGGTGTCTAAAAAAGTTTAAACTTGTGCAAATTCAAAACTTCAGAGGTGTTAATGAAAATCAGGCCCACACCATTTTTATGTGTAGTTTGCTCTATTTGCGCAAAAATTTGAAGCAAAAGTTGTGAACCATTTTGAGGAAAGTTTGAAGGTTTCATAGGGAATAAAGCTCATTTTCATCCTCAAAATTGAATTTGTCAATATTTCGTCAATGATTTTTTTCCAGCATTACGTAACTTTCTACGACCAATGAAGCATGAGAGAGTAAAAACCATCAACCCTTTTTTCATCTTGTGATTTAAACCAGCCAACCCTGTGCATATTCATAGTAAATGTTATGAAACTTACACAGTTGCACTTTATCTTCATTTCAGCAAGTATCTTCATTTTCCTTCTGGTAGCAAGTTCGCTTTTCTTTCTTCTCTCAGAGCTTATTCTATTATAATACTTATTTTCCATCCTTCTAAAAAATGATTTTTGATATCTTTCACTATAGTAGGGGTTCTTTAGTTCCATTTCCTCTCTAAAATCTTTGTTGTAATTTCCGCAGTTATTTTGAAGTTTCCACGTAAATCAAATATATTCAAAGTTATTTATTCATAGAAATTTAGTTGTTCCATCCAACATATTTTCTTATAAAATGAGCAATAGAGAAAGTTCTTCTTCACAGAATATTAATTAAGAATATAATTACAGTACTTTCATAAAAACATGGGTCAATTGTAATATCAAAACTAATTTTTCTAGATCAGTTCTTGAAATAGCAAAATATCAACCCTATACTTAAATGAATCAATATGCTTTGCTTCAATATGCAAAACTCATTTTTAATTGTATTTGGTTGATCCATGCAGCTGTCTGATTTGTTCGAAAATGCAATCACAAGATTCTACAAATAAATTGTGATGGAAACTGTACTATCAAGCTTTTTGATATTAGAAGTATGTTATATGAAATCGAGAAACTTCAAAACATGTTCCAAGTTCAAAAGTTATTCTGATCAAATTAAATAAATTAGTTGATATTCACAATATTTGTTATTATAATTTTCCAAATTACACACTAATCTTAAAGTAACTTTTGCTTAATAATACCATTGTATCTATAATATATAAATTGAATGAAAAGTAAGAAATTGCAGCAGGAAAAATATGTTTCTGAAATATAAGTTTTAATATGTAATATTGGCGGCATTGATCATTATCAGCTCAAACATTTGTGTGTGTGTGTGTGTATTGATATTTATATTTGTGAAGTGCTTTTCTTAATCAACATAATTTTCAGAAAAATGTTCATAGTATTTTTTTGTTTGTTTGATATTGTGTTAATATGTAACATTTCATTATATTGTTTCAAGGAACATCTGGAGGAACACCAGATCTAGTCTTTCAATAGGAACTTTTAATAGGAACAGGCACCAGACCTACTATCTTGCTGTTCATGATAATGATGATGGTGAAGATATATTGTTTCACGAACTACGGTTAACTTAAAACCAACTAGAAAAAAAGTCTGTGCAATTTGTACCAATAAAGATTAAAAAATGCAGAGGTGTTTCAGATGTGTATGATTTTACTACTAATGACTTTAAAAAAGATGTTACCCTATAAGGATTAAGGAATAAGTAGTGATAATTATTGACAATAAAAGGATAACATAAAGATGAACTGTCTGACAGGCATCATTAGTTTTTCTCAGAACTACATAAAATGCCAAATTACAGGAAGTCCATAATTAATATTCTTTTTGAACATTTTCTTTTGATATTCAACAGATTAATATTTATTCTCAACTTCACATTGTGTGCGATGCCAATCAGGATGGAAAATATGCCTCATGGATAATATGTGTAGCAAAGTGTATTAGAAATGGTTTGTTTTAGTTTTATATTGAAGTTATATTGAAGCAATAAAGAGAAAGTAAAAATAATCACTATTTGAATGATACAAAGGGATGCCTTGAAGGAAAATATTCTCATTGATAACATTATCTAAAAATTTGTCCAGATTAGCAGTTATAAGCCTTAAGCAATTCAAAATGTGTATTCTTTAACTTCCTTGTGCAAGTGTCAGTAAAAGTAATCATCCTTCTAACCAGGGTTGGATCCAGAGGGAAGTGAGGGCCATGCTAAACCCTCAATTTAACATTTTATGAAATTTTACTCAATCTATTCAAAACAATTACCATATACTGTATCCATCACGTTCAAAGAAAATACCCATAATGAATCTACTATTTTTTTAAACTTCAAACAAACACTATTTTTTTCTTTTTATATTTAAAAAATATTAATTTAAAAAGGTATGAATTAAAAATTGCTCCCCTGAAATACTTTCTAGATTCACTCCAGAAAGCACAAAGCAATTCAGTTTAACATTGAAATAATTTCATGTTTATAGACACCATAAAGATCAAACAATTCGCATGGATTGGAATGAAAAGGTGCTCTTTATGTCTTCTGAAATGTAGCAGACATTTGAGAATATTTTAAATATAATTGGGTTATATATGAAACAAATAAGATGATATTTGGGGTGAAAATAAATACTCAAGTTTGAAAATATTAGCATACTTATAAAAAGAGAAAGTAATGAAGTCAAATTGCATACTCTTAATTATTTTTTAACAATAATTTTAGCAACATTCAGACTACCTGTGTTGAAAAGAGAGAAATAAAAGCTCTGAAATAAACGAGGAAGGTAGCAGACACAAAAGAAAGAGTTGCAGTGTAAAATAACCATGTGAGAGGATGAATTTCCCTGAGTTAAAATTTTTATGCTGTGATATTCTCGTCTTCTTTTCTTGTGATAGAAATTTCAATGCTCAAGTGTGGTAGATACACATTGTCATGTTTGAAATGAATCTGTGAAAAATCAATTCATGAATCAGCAAGAAAAATGATTTACACAACTAAATATATATAATTCAGATAAATCAAAGTTTCTATGTTCACAACAATTTGTTTTCACAGAAAATGTATCAAATTGAAATCATAAATTAAATATTATTTTGCATCTAAAAATATTACTTGGTGAAGCTTATTAATTCTATCAAAATTGTAGAATAAACTCAAGTGTTTTAAGTCAAATTTTCTTGCTGATGCATTCTTATGCAAGTTGTCTTATTTATATACCGTTCTTCACAATAACTTGAAAACTGTTCCGTACAGATCAATTCAGTCTCTACTTCTTTGGGTCTATACAAAATGTACATCTAGTTTTCATTTTCATATATCTAAATGTCATTTTTAACAGTTTATGTTGGGTACAGAAAGTGAATATTTCTTCAGAGCAGAGATAATACCACACATACTTCAACAAATAGTTTTTAACTTAGATCTTGTGAAATATTTGCGTGACTATGACGAGATGGTTGGTAGTGTATATCCTTTGCATTAGCAAAGGGAAAACAGGGATTGAGTTGAATACAAAATGACATAATTTTTTAAATTTTATAACCTGGAATTTAAGGTGTTTATTGTTTTTTAATAAGGGCTAGTGCATGTACATGAGCCTACTTTCTACTTGTATGAGTGTGCTCAACTTGTTACAGTTTTTTACAAGATGTTGGAAATGTACACCTAGCGCCACATGATATCTACTGTTGTACGGACAATGTTTGAACATGTACACAAACACAGGGCCATACCTCAAGATTACAACACTTTACAGAGAACTAAAGTAGTGTATATTGGAAACATCTTGTCCGCACCATCATTATCACCGAATGTAATATTAATCTGCCAACAATAACTTTCATCTCTGTAGATACACTTATGACCCTGTCAAAGTTATGTAAGAACTTTACATGAATATATATGCATACTTCACAGAATTACTGGTATACTTGTATGAACGCGTAGAAAAATGTATGATCCACTTGTAGAGTTTCCTTTCTAACACAAAAATGAGTCACTTTTTCAATCTTTGTATTTCTCAATAATTAACAAAGTGGAAATATCCACTTTACATTTAGGGAGAAGGCAAATACCACATAGAGAGAAACCAAAGAATACTTCTATTTCTTGGTGTTGTCACAGTGGAAAGAATAAGGTTGACATAATATACACAATATGAGCCTTTAACATACATCATTATATGAAACAATGATAAACAACAGAGGGATATTTAACCTCACAAAAGACAATAAATTATGTTTTCTATGATTCAGTGAAATTCCTTTAAATGAATGGGTGTTATTTTATAAATGGTATATGTAAATAAATATAGGTATATACAAAATACCCACCCACGGCATACATACCAGTACACTCATGCACACATATACATTCGCTCTGTACTTTTGGTATGATATTTCACTTTGGACATCAAAAATGAAAGCAGATTATAATACAAGAATATTTGTGCACAGTTTTTAATCGAGGATGATATTTGAAATGAAGTGAAAATAGCAACATATATATACGCATAGTTAACATATAACTTTGCAATTCTTTTCAAAGATAGTATTAATTTATCAAGAAATTATCCAAAATAAGTTTCATGACTACAACAAAAATGTTTTAAACTTTTCGTTGTCCTTACAATAACATTTCTATAAATCTTTCCTTGTAGTGGACAGGAAAAGTAGAAACTTAAAGCTGTACATGACAGTAACAGTACATTCTAAAACTCTAATCAAACATTTACCAAAATCAGCATCTTTAATATTATAATTAACAATTCAACTAAGTATTTGGTTTGCCCAACATGGCAATAGGAACTTTCTCTTTCATCTCTTTTATATACCTTATTTACTTGGGTAATTTTCACTGTACTTCTTTTATAAGTGTCTAGAATAGACTTATAGCATTTTCCTGGCCATTGAAATGACAATGTACAAAAGAAATGAAATTCGCTGATTCGATGAGAAACACAAATCATGCTGATAATAAAATAATTCTGAGAAGACTGGGGTTAAATCATAATCAGTTGAATGTGAAAATTAGACAAGTAAATATGATAGTTGGTCCTCATCACTTTCATAAAAATTCTAATAATAATAATATAATAATAATAATATAGTAATACATCCCATCAATATAATAATATATAAAGAAAATCAGGCTCAAGACATTTCTATTATGCACACATATCACATGCTACTACTTTTATTAATAAACAGTAGGTCAGCCTGTCATCATGTGCCTGAACTGTTGTATATGAGGAACCCTGCTTTAAACTGGCACACGCTGACAGGCTAAGCAAGAACATCAAGATCACGTTACAAATAAAAGTCATTGCCGTCCTCATTGTTCAGCAGCTCTCATAATTGTGCTTATTTTGTGCAGAGCACATTACTTGGGCTAAATGAATTCACACATGGGTACAGAACATGCACCATCTTAACATAATCATCTTCAGAAGAGTACAAGTGAGACATATTAATATTAGAAACACCCAATGCTAAACATGAAATGAGTTTAATGAAAACAAATGTGACAAAAAACTTGTATCTATAACACAGAATGAATCCACAATATAATAAATATACAACAGATAGACAAGAAGTGCTAATTATATGTAGAGTTATAAGATTTTAAAGCAATAACGACAATTAAAAACTATGTCTAGTTGTACTCTTCTAAGGCTGATATTTGTTGCCTAACCTGAATAGTTTGCTTTAGTGATCATGTACGAGGGAAGCTAGTTCAAACGCTATGAAACATATCTCAGAAGACATGCCCTTTGATGTTTATCGCTTCACACACACTAATATTTTTAACCTCTTGATTATGATACTTAATGCAAGTATATTCACAATGTACATTGATCTATATACTATAAGCAATATTATCATAATATCATAATTTTCAAGAGGAAAACCAATTTTGGCCAGAATAAAGTATACATTTATTGTATCTGTAGAGTAAAAAGAAATAATATGCATTTCTAAAGGGGTTTCAGGAACATTCTCTGGAAGACTTTGTAATTCAACTCCTACTGAAAGTAAAATGTAGAACTTTCATCAAGTTCCTTCTCTTTACAGATAAATTTATGCAATAAATTCTACCTCATGATTTCACCCATAACTTGTAATCTTTCTTCATTGAGATCGTAATGGAGGCTTGGCTTATCTTTGGGAAAAATTCTAATAAAAACACACAACTCACTTTATGATATACATAAGAAAACTTTACAACACTCCAATACTTGGCAAGAACCCAATTCTATTACCCTTACTTTCCAATGGTAGACATCACCTATATATATGCGTTCCTTATTCTTACAGCGGTGCAAGAATATTTGTGTCTTCCATTTAAAACAAAGTTTATGAAAAATAATGGTGTTTTTTCAACTTCTTGCCGATTTCCCATAGGATAATACAGATGCCCTCAAGTCAGGAGTAATCATAGAGCTAAATAACCCCAGTTGGTGCAGCTGCCTTCTCTTGATTCAGGAGACACTCCTGGCAGTGATGGCGTTTTCCATTTGGTAAATCACCGGTCATTTGTGGTTACAAAAACCTTTCTACAGTAATTGCACAAGGGTAAAGACTGATGTCACATCACATTCCTTAAGAAGTATCTTTGCAAAAGAAATTTCCAATGCTGTCTGGCACTTACAACGCACACGTACTCTATCAGATCATGTAGTGCTTAACACAGCACACTTATGACATAAAGCTACGTAGAAAGTGACATTAAACAGTTTGTATTTAAAATTGACATAATTTTTAACTTTCAGGATATTATACAAATCCTTGAGAAATAATAATAATAACTGAAAAGCAATCACACTTAGAAAGTCAAACTTAAGTGTCTCAAAAATATAACACCACTACTAATTTCCATCCATAGGTTTTAAAAGTTACAGACCACAAGATTCTGTAGCAAGTGCAACATTTAATATGTTTCATGTCTTTCAGATTTCACATGTGTAAGACTGATCAGCAGTATTCTACATTTCCATGCTCACCACTTTGTCCAAGAGTGTAGCTACTGTCCTTTTGCAGATCAGTATACAGATGTCAAAATTGTGAAACTGTGGGAAAGTCGTTTGCCTTCATTCAGCAGTTTCTACATCAGAATCATAAAGGTGTGCCAGCTCAGGCACTGATATAATTTTGCTGTTCCCAGCTAGAGTTCAGTTCAGCCCCATTGCCACCAAAGAGGCAAGGGTGACGGTCGACGGCCGGTCTCACCGGCTGCTGCCGGTTAGAACGGTCGTCATTCCGACTTCACAACAGCTGCTGTGCCAGATGAACCACCACCAACAAAACTGGATGTGGTCGAGGTAACAAGAGAAAGTGGAGCACCAGCAGCAGCACCCATAGCCAATGATGCAAACATGGATGGGCTAGATGTAACAGCTGCTGGGCTGCCCATGGCGGCGCTCGGTGGGTTGATGCGTTTCTCCTTCTGGCGCCTTCAACAGTGGCAAAGTGTCACAAGCATGAGTACGATAGCTCCTGAGAATCACATCAAAGAAGAAATTTCATGAATATATAAACTATTTTGCTAGCTTGTGCTGATCCTTACCTGTTACAAAACCAAACTCGAACCACTTCCTTCTCCATTGAGAGACTTTCAGCTAGAAGAGCAATCTCTTCAGAGGTGGGCTTTGGATTGTGGACAAATGCTTTTTCCAAGGCAACTCGTACGCTTGTTTCAATAGAAGTTCGCTTCTTGCGACGACGTCCAATAGCCTCAGGTGTTGTCAGCGGGTTAGTTAGTGCTCCAGGATTAGCAAGAGCACTGTCTGCATCCTCTAGCCACTTTTGAAGCAATGGCTTCAGTTTGCACATATTTTTGAATGATAAATTCAGGGCCTCAAATCTTGATATGGTTGTCTGTGAGAAGTCATTACCATATAATTTGCCCATTGCCAAGCCCACATCACCCTGTGTGAATCCAAGTTTTATTCGTCGTTGTTTGAATGTCTTGGCAAAAGCTTCCAGTTCTTCTAAATCTGGTGCAGCTTCATCTTCTACACCCCCAAGAACAGGCTGAGGAGGAGGTGGAGCCTGTAATCAACATGCATTCCAGGATTATCACACATAAGCTATAAGCACATAGTTCAGCTTTAGAATGTACCAAGTTACATATACTACACTATTTGAAACAGAGAGAAGTTGAAGCAAAAATACAATACAGTTGAAACAAGGAATTTACAGAACACATTTTAAATACTATGAGACACTTTTCAAATCCTTTTTCAAGTTACCTTGATATGATGGTGTGGGTGATGTGGATGGTGGTGTTGATGCTGCTGATGTTGTGCATGCTGTTGCTGATGTTGCTGATTGACAGCATTATGATGTTGGGACAGTGAGTGATGATGGTGGTGGTGGTGATGATGATTGGATGGCTGTGCAGGGCTGTTGTGACTTTGCACTTGTTGCTGCTGTTGTTGCTGCTTCTGCAGCTGCTGCAATTGTTGAGCTGCTTGTGCTACTGCCTGTTGAACCTACAAAGATATGAAATTCACTAATTTAGCAGAAAGAAGTTTGTTCATGTCATTGTTCACCGGCATTAAAGAATTACAGAAATAGGGAATGAAAATATATCTCATTTTGATATCTGTTTGATATCTGTCAAGTCTCACATATTTCATCACCACATAGGTATCACCATTGTTACATCATGCATTTCTAGTACTTGTAGATACACAATAGTGTGTTATCTGTAACAATTGTAGGACCAATTAATACTAGACAACAGAAACTCCATCAACACAAGGGTTTCAAATCACCTGAATGCAATTGTCTTCAGTCACAACAACGGACAATGAAATTCTACCAATCCAAGTATATTACTGTAAATTTAATCTTAGGGGTCTACAAATTTGGACTGTCAGAAAACTACCATAGAATTTTCTCTGACAATATCTCTTTACCATTTGCATATTAAAGGATAGGTGCACCATTTGAAAGGTCCTGCCTTCAGGCTCCTCATCCTGAGCAGAGATCCTGACTTTAAGGGCCTAACAGATGCTAGCTTCATATCAAAATTAACATGAATATTCAAAAATTAGTTTAAGCATTTCCATATAAAAACATACATTTTCATATATTTTCTTATAATCATATCCTAGAAATTACAATACCCTTACAACATATTCCATAAATTTGTTTTGTTTTTATTGAAAACATACTTAATGTGAAGGAAATATTTCACTAAAATATTCACATCGTTCTCTAAGATTACATCCCCCTACCCTAACAAAGTTAAACTGTAATATACCCACCTATAATAGAATATTGGTTTCTGACAAATCCCCCCACCACAAATCAGCCAAAAATCTCAACAATTTTTTAACAAGCTGTGCGCGATGCATTGTTTTTTGTGTTCTTTCATCTTTTTTTGGCGTGCGTTACAGCTTTTTTTATTTTTTTAATCGAACTACTCGTACCACTGTGTGATACATTACGAAGCGTGCACCAAACACTTTTCGCACACAGCGTCCTCCGTCGAGAGCTCATTCACGCTTATGTACTGTCATGTTTAGGCGAGCGGGAGGAGCGGGATATGGGTGAGGCGTGATTTGTGAAGACTTTTTATCTCATCGCACTGCATACTTTGTATTGAGCTTTTCCCCCCATCACGGTGATATTGATGACCGTCATGAGAAACAGTGTTGTGTTTGTGTAGAAGGCAGTCTTAATTTAGAGATTACTTCTATTCCCATTTATAAAAGAATAGAATCTGTAGTTCTACAGTATTTTTATCATCATCATTGTTGTTATAATAATAATTACTATTATTATTATTATTATTATTATTATTATTATTATCATCATCATCATTATCATCGCCGTCAAGGTCATTATGAACGTCTCGCGTTTCCTACGAGATACACGGGAGACGACTCCGTTCCTCTTCCGGGAACTGTCCCGGTCACATGTACCATAAACCAGGGCACCCAGGGACGACAATCCCGAGAAACAGCGATGCGGCGCTCGCATGAAGTTCCTGGTGCGCTAACAAGCACACATTCAGTTCCGCCGATGAAACAACTGTCAGAACGCTAACCTCACTTAACACTACTAGCCTGACATTTATGAAAGAGGGGTGAGGGGCTTAGAGGTACTATTACCTCTTCAGACGCAAGGCGTCGGTAATAGTTTTCTAAATATTTTTTTCGGGTTATAATAATACACGAATTTTTGAGATACATAATTTGTCTTCGTTTGCAGACACAACTGTACTCTTGCAACATTCCACGATTCTTAATACCCGTCGATTAACATTTAATTTATCCTAGTCTCGGTAAGAAAGGTGCGGTACGAATTCTAGGAGCTCAAGAAAACTGGCGCATGTAAATTGGGAACCGGAAGGAAAATAAGAGTTTAACCTATATATAAATTGAGGACCGACCCAGAAGAGTGCATAGTACGTAAATTGAAAACCGACTACCTTATCCCCTTCCAGGTAAAAGTGGAAGGCGACACTTCATTTTCAAATATTTTCATAGCCATTATTTTTAAAACAACTCCCTTCTCAATTTTCGAGACTTAGGTCTGGTTAAAGTTGATTTTCATTCAAATGAATCATTCATTTATTGAATGAATTCTACTTATCTTGCCATTTTTTATTTTCTACCTTTTTCTGCTAATATTTTACAACACTGAACACGAAATGTGGACACTCTTCTAGTGCTTTCTTTTCTTTTCATTTTGATATAGGGGCGTGCCTGGAAGATTTTCAATAATGCACATGGAAAAACGACAGCATTGCGGCGACGGCGACCCCCATTCCTGCTCTATCAGTCCTTTTCCTTAATTCCTAAACTTACAAGTAAAATTTCGCGAGAAAAGATGAAGAGATTCTTTGGTCCCTATTTTACTTACGACCAAGAAAACTTGCCCAGATTACACTTCTACTCCATACGTCACATACAGTACAATTTTTTACCATTTTTTTCTTTCGATAATAAATATAATAAATCACCAAGCGACATAGGCTCAGTGAACTTTGTGTCCTTTTCTAGTAATGTCAGGAGTATCACAGGATCCAATTCACTCCGTGTATCAACTCCGTCGCTCTTGTTAAAAATATTTAAGATATGATGTATTGTACCCGCGACATACAGGAGCGTTGATGAACTTTGTCAGAGTGAAACAGACCCAAAGTCGCCACACTCAATACGTATCGACCGAAACATATGACCCGCTTCTTTAAAAAATACTACAAAAGCGGATGCTATCACAATTCGAGGCGCATCAATTATTAAATACAGTGGCGGCTCGTGTTTAGATTGCACGCGGTTGCACAACCCTCAGGTAATCGAAAAATATATCAAAACATCTTAGGAATATACATTTTCCTTTTAATGACATTCAATATTGAAGACATTGTAGCAATATCGATGTATATGAAATCATTTTGAAACCAAAGAGCATCCAACTGGCGGCATTCTCCGGTGTCTGGTGCCTTCCCAGGTACTACACCACGCTATTGGCTCTTGGTTGTATTAATGGGTTTACTGCTTTTAGTTTCACGCCTTCGATTTACCACGGAAAGATGCAGCCTTTTGGTGGCGCACCCAGATGAGTGGCGCAGTCTAGCGTTGCGCGGCGGAAGTCTAGCGTTGCGTGGAGGAAGTCTCAGAGGAATAACAATATTCTGTTTTCGTCTGATTCGCTGCAACGTAATTTATGGATTTTGTTTGATATCGAAAGTCCACAAATTGAGTCAATTATTGACGATATTCAATGCATCGTTTATGATCTTTGGAGAATTTCTTTTCATTTGATATTATGATTGTCGATTCAAAACGTACATTTGATTAGTCCCTTGTGTAAAGGTGGCCGTTCTGGATGGAAGTCCTTTAATGTCTCGAGGACGCTAGTGTGCCTGCAGCTGGTCAGCAGTTTGCGAGCGTTCTTGTGAATACGAATGTGTGTCAAAGATCTTTCATAATAGCCAAAGTTACCAGGGTAGTGTAGTTTTCGAAATAAAATAATTTTATTTGTGTGGAACGTGTCCAAGCAATCGTGTAGTTGAAATGTGTTGGAGTCGAACGTAAGTGCGCAGTGGAAATCAAAGTCAGAACCACGTGCCGGAAGGTGTATATCTTACACGGGCACGGCGCATAACATTATGTAAGAAAAATTTAATATAGACTTTTATTTAACTTAGTTTTAATTAATTTAAATTGCTTACATTTGTATTATATATTCTTATTTTAAATTTTGGAAATTATATTACCGTCACTCGATGGAGGTGCAACCTCCAGTCAGTTGGGACGCAAGCAGCCACTGATTATATAACAGAAGCATGATTATTTTATTACGTTGTACATCGAATTGATTTATCCAGTATTTGTCTGACGCCCTTTGCAATTCTCCCCGAAATTCGACGACCTGAGCCGCGGTCCTTCGAGCTCATTTAAACCCTGGTGCACGTCTAGTCCAGAGAACCGAAATGGCTCGAGAGGGATTACGTTTCAGCCCCGAGGAAGGCCAAGACATGGCGACCGAAACGGCAGCAAAACTGCGTGCGACGCGGGGTCGCCCGGACCGGAGCTAGGCCAGAACTTTGGAACGAGCGAGACTGTGTTGGTGCGTCGGTGCCCAAGATGGCGGCGGGGCGCTGGGCGCGGGGCGCGTTACCTGC